AAAGAGCTCAATGATGTCGAGAGAGTTGTAAGAAAATAAATATAATTAGGGCAGCAGGCAACTGTACGAACCAGTCATTCCGGTACCTTGCTGACCGTACAAAGGCGTTCCTAGGTTAATTATTTTTTGGTTCTTGCCTTGTGTCTGTGTGTTCGCGTGTTTATTTAGTGTAGCAGTACAGGTATTTTGTAGAAAATTAGGTTTCAGTGTGAGCGTGACAAATAGTATGGAGCGTGCGGCGTATTTTGTTCTCTTTGAGGTTTACTTATCAGTTCAAAGGGCTTGACCAGCAAGGCCTTCCAGGCTGGTTGGGGGTTCCCAGAAGTCAGAGCGACCGCGCAAGATAATGGCGTTCTCATAAGTGTGTACTATCTGACTGCAAAAATTGTAAACAAAAATAAGTTTTTGTTTTGTTTTTTAGTTTGTGTGTGCTGGTTGCTGAGGAAGTTTGTTTAAATGTGTATATAAGAGGGTTACTGAATAAACATATTAGCTCAATTTGAGACGGCGCCTCACTGACATTTTTCTCTGTCTATTCTACTTTTGGTTGTTTCAAGTTTTTCCACACCCAGTCTCAGGTTTTTCAACAAAATAGTAAACTCGCCCTTTCTTTTTAGCATTGTCATATAGTATGAGTAAAGTGGTTTTAAGAATTTGTATAATCATGCGTTCACTGAGATTTTTGAACTAGTATTAGGTTTGCATTGTCCTCTATTTTTGGTTCCGTGTAATTCCAGTGTGTCTGCGTTGCCGCCCGCTCACGGGTAGGGTTAAGTACATGAATCAAAAGGCTGGTTGCTAAAAGATTTCCGAGCTCATGAGTCGCTTGCATTTGGTTTTGATCACATTACTATATGTATTTTAATTAAAATCTTGTTTGTGTTGACCAACCTGTGTTGTATCCCCATCAAGGGAAGACATCACCCGGGCGTGGATCAATCGCCCAGTCAGCAGTCATTTCTGTTTAAAAAAATAAATACAAGTCCCAAACCTGTGACACTAGTTTATTACGCGCATTAGAATAGTTGGCTAGCAGGCACCCACGCCGAAACTCCATGTTTCCAGAAACTAATAGAAGAAAAAAAAAAAACACGAATTATACTAGTCGCAGAATCTCGCGCTTCAATGCCAAATTCGAGCAGATCTTCTCCGTGTGAATATGAACGAGCGGGTGCCAGAGTGCATTCGTTAAAGCATTGATACATGACGCGCATATAAACTCCAGGTCGGAGCTTTTTTTAGTGAAATGCTCGCTTTGCAAAATAGACAAATAGGATTGTACTGCGAGCGAACGTTTTTTCCCGTTCATTGACTAGTACTAATTGAAGCTCACCGGGCTTTTTTCCTTTTGAAGATACAACAGCTCACTCTACGCTTTCCTGAATTCTCATGAAATAAGTCAAAAGCGGAAACCACACAATAAAACTGGTGTAGCCCTTATATTTCTTGTCACATATGCGACACGCTTGAACTTCAGTGAGACGTACAACACACTGACGTGCAACCGACGTTAGCAACTTTCTTAAGTGGCATCATAGACGAGCTGTACAACCTAATAAAATAGCTTAAGTAAGTTTAACGGACGGTAAAAAAAGTAATTGCGGTTTTCTTGGCCTTACTGCTAAACCTCAGTGTTTTTTTTTTTTGTAGTTTTTGATGCGTACGTTGGCTGTTCAATATCTTATATCGCACCGTCACCAAGCGCCTCGTAAAAGTTTGGGCCGTCAGTTTGACGTCAGTGGACTGTAAGACGACCTGAAATTTTGGGCTGTCGTATATATGACAAGGGGTGTAAGCGTTACACCCTTATTCTTCAGAGCGCACGTAGCAGCATGCACGACGAATATTTCAACTAATGTCAAGTAAAATAATCTTTGCCGATATCACGACTTTCCCAATGTTTCTTTTGCGAGGAAAGTATTTGCATAATTACATTTATTTAAATCGAGCAAACTGTTTCACTGACTACTTCATAGTCTATAAAACACGAACTGAGAAGAGCAGCGATAAAACGAATTTTCTCCCAAAGAACAGAGCACGCTCGAAGGAAGAAGATAGAGCGCACAATAGGAAGAACAATGCCCTTACAAACACCATGCCCTTGACACAGCAAGGTACGCATATCTCGCTCTTTGTACACTCTTTCTGTTGTGCGTGCATACTGCGTCCGTTTATTTTTATAAGAAACAGTGCCTCCCTTCGCAGTCAGATCAGAAAGTGGATGACGCGCTTCCTCTTATTCTGATCTGTGCCGCCACCTTCCCCCGGAAGTACAAAAGAGAATACAGGGGAATGCCTCGCTGGCAGCGCGCGAAACAAGCGGGCAATTAAGGGAACGAGCCGAAACGCGACGCCGTGCGCCTCATACCCCGCCCAATGAATAATGGAGCAACAATAGTTGAGGTGCCAGACAAAACAGAAGAAAAAGAAAAAAGCAGCTGCCAGAACGGGCGCTACTTGAAGAAATGAAAGCGCGGTCAAGAGTGCTCGACCAAGACGTGCGCTCGGTCCCGAAACTGACCAAGCGCTGACCTCCCGAAGGCTTTTGTGCAACGGCGTAACCTCGTAATAAATTCCGGCCGGGACTGAGCTGGATTAGACACTTGTATTTGAGACGGACCCTCTTGCCCAAAGAAATATTTGCGTACAATTAGCAAGGTAAGCACCATTAATAATAAACACCCCTGCTTGAGTTTGAGCTCTTTTATGACTAATCAAAATGATTTCAAATATATTGTTGTCGTTTTACTTACTATTGAAAACTGCGCAAAATATGATGCATAAAAAAAAAAAAGATTTGCTTGTTATGCTTACTTTTCTGCCACATTCCGTGAAATCAAATGTTTTCTAGGAGATATCTATATTCTACTGTATATTTGCGTTGTATGATGCCCAGGCGATTACAGACCTGAGGAACGTTACGATCTTTCCCCAAGAAAAGCAGACCTTGATAGTATTGTGAATGTGGATCATAGAAACTCATGAAGAAAAAAAACATGTAGGGCCATAAATAAGAAAACTGTGCGCGTCCATACGTTTAATTACTGCTCATTGCTATTCTATGACTTGCCTCTGAAATATTCCGGTGGAACATGCGATGCTTACTGTTGTACAGTTTAAATTATCATTCCATGCATACTCCGAGTAGGTGAAGTCGAAGGAAGTTGGGAATGGTAGAGTCTGGAGCAAGAGTATGAGTCCAGCTTCTATCTCCGCTCAATATAGAGGTAGGTAAGAGAAAACCGCGGAGGTGCCAGTATTTGGTAGAACAAAGTCGAACAGCAGCCTTGAAAAAGTAGCGATGTCTTGCTGAGGTAGTCAGCAACGTGAGAGCCATGAAGTACTAGCATCTTTCACACGAATCTTGACAGGTATTTCGGAGTGTCCCAGGAAGAAGGTTTTTGTTGTTTTCTTAAGAATAACATGGGCAGCGGCTAAATGCCTCGAAGGATAGAATATATATATATATATATATATATATATATATATATATATATATATATATATATATATATATATATATATATATATATATATATATATATATATATATATATATATATATATATATATGTGTGTGTGTGTGTGTGTGTGTGTGTGTGTGTGTGTTATTTAAGACCTGAGGACATACAGACCCCTCTGATTGCCTTCCCCCATTAATGTCGTTTTTAACAGTAACTATATAATAAAGATGGGGTTTTACATGCTCCATCGCAGATTCTTTGAATATAGACATATTTATATATGGGATATTCAAAAAAGCGAACTAGAAATTGGTTTAGTTCCCATTCCCAACTTCTGGTGATAGCTTCATAAATCCTGCTTTTAGAGTTGTCCATACAAAGATCATGTAGTGTGCATAAGCATGCAGCAGTGTACGCTGGCGTTGGCGCATAAGCAACTGGAAAAGACAGAAGCGCGTAATGTTGCGAAATATTCAGACCGAAAAGAACATACAATCATGGCAGTGGAAACATGAACGCTCGGAGGTGAGCAAGCGAAGCCTGTCACGTTCAGTTACACGTCGAGGAAAGTGCGCGGCGAAGGCTGCAAACGAGAGGTCATACCTTTAAAAAAGCCTTTGTACTGCCCGAGCGCTGTTACGACTGAGGGCCCTTAAAGCAGCTGACCCACGTTTGTAGCATTTACCGAGTACTCACATTAAGGCAACGCGGGCTTCTGATGAGCCGGTGACGATACACAAATTGACACATCCCGGAAACGAGCAGCGATGGCGGCAGGACCCCCGAACTAGTGGCAACTTTCTCTTGACGTGCCACGGACGTAGTCAATGAGAGGCGAACAAGAACGGAGGCAGCGGAGCTTGCGACGGCGTTTCCGCAACCCGTTTGCCTACCGCTTTGGGCGCCGAATGGGGCGGCCGCCAGAAGAAGCTTCTCCGCAGCAAACGTTGCCCGGACATGTGGATTCTGCTATCGACACCTGGCTGCTCAAGATGGCTGTCACGCAATGCTCTTCGCAGCCCGCTACGATACCGGGAACTCTACACTCAAGACCATCGGCTCGCAGGCGCATTAGCGGCTTCTTCGTTGCCGAGGGCATAGCGGAAGGGGGAAACGCGGTCTACGAAAACTCCCTAATTACCAGGAACGGAGCGCGCTCCAGGGAGGGGAGATGTCTGGATCTCCCTCGGACTGAACATTCGCTGGTCGCCGCAGTTCCCCTCGCGGAGCAAATGCCAAAGAGCGAGAAAGCGCTCACACGACAGCTGCCGGGCGTTGACGTAAAGCAACCTAGCTGTCTCCTTTTCCTTCTACACAGGCGTGTGGAGGTTGGCGGCCACAAAGGGCCTCGCGATCAAGGTTGATTTCCGTATTCCGACCGGAGCCAAAGAGTTTCCCGGGAGCACTCTCTCGACGTGCACTGGGCAAAAGTGCGCGTCGGTGTTTGCAGTTTTCTTCCTTCACGCTCCTGGACAGAGGGACCGCGGCTCGTCGAGTCACTGCCTGATGTCTCCACGCTACGACCGACAATTCACTATGAAATCAAACTGCGGAAGTTGCCCTTGGATACGGGGCATCGTTGTCTCCTTCATCCTGTGTTCGGGAGTAGTGGGCGATGGGACGGCCGCCGACGTGCCGGCGGGGGATGTGGGCTTCAACGAGACTTGGACGACGGAGGCCCCCGAGCTGAACGCCCTGGCCATATTGCGGGAGATGCTCCAGACTCTGATTGACCAGGCCTACGATTCCTCGGCGGACAGGTTCCTCGGTGCCAAGTTGTCGCCGCAGTGCAGTCTCAAGCTGCTCAAGTTTGTGCACGCGCTGCGGAACTTCGAGCCCTGGACAATAAGACGTGAGTTCATACCACACGTCCTGCCGCGGACACTTGTGCGGCAAAAAAAATTGGAAGTGAAAAAAAAAAAAACCGATGCTACTTTCCTGTTTAATTTTATTTTTCAATGTAGAAAACGCAGAAGTTACTTTGAGGAGTTACTATGTAAACTTTTTTCCCACAACCTTTCTGAACCGCACTTTTTTCAACGAAACAACACATTTTTCTCAAGAAATATCTAATGTTGTAGGGGTTAGTACTGCGTTCGGTGACAATGACTAAATGATAAAATTTTAAATAAAGAGCGTTTTACATTTGATAAAACATAGGTTTTTAAAGCAACAGGTAATAAAGCCCTGTATTTACGCACGTCGATTCAAGGTGCATTAACGTCTGTATGGTATTTGGCAACTACTACGTCAGAGGTCTAAAACGTATCCACCGCACTATAATTTTATATGGCAGCATATTCTTGTTGGGTTTTAGAATTGTGAAAGTATTAATGACAAGGAACTCCTGGATATCGTCGCGCATACCTTTACGAAACTAAGATTTATTGTGCTGCACCCACTGTGCACGAGGTTGTGCACATAAAATGCTATCTCACCGCACTATCAACTCTATAAATGACTGTGCAGATAATACATAGGAAGTGTGCATGCTGTAGAGGAGCAGCTGTTGATTATTATAGACGATAGTGAAAAATAGTTTGCTTCAGTGTATGAAATTTCTTTGCGATTGCTCAATTAAGAATAATTATAATTGTATGCTCATTATAATAAACACATTGGCCTCTGTAATTTAGGTATTGTAAATATTACAATGGTTGGTTCTATGGACGTCTCCCTGTAGTAATGAATAAAACAATGCTCAACGAAAATAGTTCGCTAAATCTTTTTTTTAGAAATTAGGGTGTATGCAGAGTAGTGAAGCTGATCTGAACATTCATACACAAAGAACACAAAGAAACATAACTCAGGAACAATGATAGCACGCGACTCGCACGTGTAGTTTGCGCAGTTTATTAAAGAGTAAAAATTTTATGAGCATGGATGAAGGCAAATATAAGTTTTAAGATAAAATGAACCGAATTATACGAGAAAGCCTCATATAGATGAGAGTAGACGAGAATAATTACCGAATATATATTAAATGAATAAACATGATAAAACTACGTATGCTGATAACATCTACTCGTATATATTATAAGTAAAAATGTAGACTTCATGAAGTAACTCAATGCGCACGCTTACCCCACATGCCTATATGACTTCATGATTCTCCACATTTAAGGATCAAATTTCTGTGAAACTTTTATTTACGGTTTTTTTTTTACGTGACTGAAAATGTGCCCTGACGAAGGCAATTCGTTTACCAGTCACATGAACTCAACCGCCCGCACATCTACTTGTACGAATGTTGCCCTTCAACGGTGCTCTTGCCATGCCTATAAAAAAAACTGCCCTCAGTTGCCCTCAGTATTAAAACACTTCCACGAATATGAGCTTCATTGTGGGTGACTCTGTTGAGTGCTAAAAATGATTTTCATATATTCTTGTTTGTTTTTCAATTGATGCGGATCGGCGCCAGAAATGTATGATTGCTTTAATAGGTTACTAGGGTGATACTTCTTTTACAAGATGCAAAATCTTCTGCGTACACAACGCATACACTATAAATTTGATTTGCCTAAATTGACTTACCCACAGTGAATGCTAAAGCAAGATGGTGAATTCACCCAAGAATAAATGTTCCTGCCCTATCCGAGTACGGATGCAGGTTGATTTTTGTCATAAATGTCTAGCTACCCCACGCGCCGATTTCGGTCACTAGTCTTTAGGGCGGCAAAGTACTCGTCACCTTCGTCTTTTATAAAGTGACCGCTAATTGTGGCCGTAATCCTGCTTAGTAGGAAACCACGGGCAGCTGCGTTACCTGCACTTGCTCTGGCGACGGCCGACCTAGTCATGACTGTGCCATTGTAAAGTGCGTTGCCCGTAATACAGTTCAAAATTGTGAAACGAAAAGTGTCGGGGTTTCTAGCAGCAATCTCGGAAGTCAATCGCAGCGGAAAAGAATGTGACTTCTTTGTTACAAAAAGAGAATACGCATGTGATATTCCTAAAGCCAAAAGAATGACAATAATTTAATTTAACTTAATGCAACATCCTATCAACAACTTGCCGTGTTTTATTTGTGTTGGATGAACTGACTCATAAATAATTGTGTCCACAGTGCGACCTTGGTAGAAGATGTGTAATAAGAATGCTTCAGTTTGACGGAGTTTTTCTAACTGCCGGTAATAAATATTTGACAATGGAATCTTATTGCGTGGCGAACATCCGGGGATTAGCCAATTGATCAATTAAACTTTTACCACGGTTTCATGCAGTGGCGTACTTAAGGAGGAGGGGGGGGGGGGGGGGGGGGCGACCGCTTCCCTGACTTTTAGGTGTCAAGGTCAAAGTTTATTTTTTTTATATAAAACATCATATCCTTGTGCTTTTTTTTTTTTTTGCAAAATATGCCTCGTTCTTAGTGAAATGGCAATGACCTCTGCCTTTGATATCGCATTTCCCAGTGACTATAAATTTAGTTTGTGATGTAACACGTCGTTGAAAATCCCCCCCCCCTGCCCCGCCCCCAAAGCCTCACCCTAAATTCGCCTAAGGCTTAGGGCGGCAGAAAAACTGAAGGAAGAAAATAGCTACTGACTCAATAAAATATTGAGAACAGAAAAGGGATGAAAACGCGACAGCAAAAGCTCGCCTGAAACATTGAGAGAAATAAGTTTAGCCCTGTCGTATATCCTCTTGCGTTAATTGGCATTGTTTTGCGTGGTACGACGAAGAGCTACAGTTTCTTTTTTCTTTCCTATTTGCACAATGCGCAGATGTATTATCTGTTTACTTTGCGCAAAAATATGTCGCGATACAAAAAGAAAAAATTCTTTTTTTTTTGCCTTAGAAGAAAACGTTCACGCATCACAGGGATCGTCTTTCTTCAAAGTTATGTGCAACAAAATAAAGAAGCAACTCGTTTTACTTATGCCATTATGTCACTTCAATAAATGATGTCACGATACCTACAAGTCTACGTGCTCGATTTGTTTGCTTCTAGCTATATTACGCGGATGCGAATTTTAGTTTCCCCAAGGATCATTTGTAGTTCGATTGGACTTCGTAATGAAATAGGCATCCCCATGATTTATATTTATAAGGGCTTTTCGGTAGAGACCTAATGGACCTGTAGAGCCACATAGTCTCTCAGTGGCCGTTACAAAAACAATTTTTATTAAAATCGAAATATTTATGCATAGCTGTTGACACTGAAAATTCGACGTCTAGAGTTTTGGTTTTTGTTCTAAGAAAATTTTAACTATTTACGCGGCCATGGGCATCCCACATTACTGGCTAAAATTACGGTACTTGCAGATACTTTACATAATTGGTTCCGTTTTTCTGCAATTCTTTAATACTAAACACCTGTGGAAACATTCGAATTTATTAGATTTCAGTCATGAAGGGCAGCAACAGTCGAAGCTGCGGTGATTATGTCAATAGTAATTCCCGTTTGTTTCTAGTAATTTTTGTAACACTGTTAGATTCAGATTTGATGATCGTCACATTTCAATGCTGTACATATGCTAATCATCATTATTTTAAAGTGATTCATTGTTCTCGTGTTTCGCCTTTGTACGAATGGGGTGTCTTCCAAAGCACACGAAGCAAAGGAGAAATTGTAAATATATGAAACACCAAGAGGAAATAAGACAAAGCAGCTTGATGTTACTGAATGTGTGCTTCTGCGTCACGTATTACTTTGCATCTTGGAAATCTATAAACACATTTACTAAAAAAAAGATAGCTGGGAATATAGTATTGGTGCATATTTTTGTTACCTCTGAAAGAGCAGCATCTGTAAGCAGGGCGCATAAAAGCTTATAATGTAGTTAAATTACATCAAACTGGATAAAGGCGACAATAAATTAATAGATAACTTTTAAGATATATGTTCGTTTCACTATACTTCAGTTTCCGACTGGGCTTCGCATTCCACCAGCATCGTCCCTGTTTTTTGTCTGTTCTCGATACTTTTGTTTTTTAAACGTCAAGCTACACGGACGCCTTGCATTAATGTAGCCGGATCGGCCTTGCGCGTAACGAATACGGGTTTTATGCCAGCTACTCGTGTATGTTCGGACCTGCAGCCTGACCGATCTAGGAGCGAAAGTGTTGCAGCCTATGTCATAACGAATATACAGCACTTTTTATAAGACCCGATTTGTATAGACGCCGCGTCATTCTCAGTACAACAGCGCATGCGTGCGCGATGGAGCTCGTCGATCAAGTCGCCTTCGGTGTGCCCTTGTTAACGCCAGGCCCGCGCTTCCCCTGCCGGCGGCGGCCGTGACCAAACTCAGAAGACGCAGAAATCCCTCGTAGTGAGGCGGGAAGAAGCGCTGCTGCCATCTGAAAACAATGCGGAGACAAAGACAAGTCAAGGAACGTTCTCACGTGACGTGTCGGACAATGAGCACGCATACGTTTCAAGGCGCTACTTCCGCGTTGTAGGGGTGGACTACGCGGAGGAAGGACATCTTAAATCGGTACCTCGAAACCTGTCGTCCTCCTTTGTTTACTCTTCTATTCGTATATCAAAACTCTCCAACGTTGTTATGCATTATCGCGTAGGACAAAAATATGTTTCCGGGTTTGAGGCGCCGAAGGTTTCAGCTGTAATATTTTCCTACCATTAACTATTTTTTTAGTTATTTCTAGCACCACCATGCATAGTTATAAAATATATACGTTTCTGGTACCCGTAATAATTTAAAAGCGCATATTTAAAGCTAAAGTATCTGCCTATCCACTATAGGTTTCTTGCACCTAACGTCAATTTCGGTTAGCCTTGAAATCGAAACCACCATTGTCGTCTGTTTCAGTGTCTTGGCACCATATTGCAGGCATTGAAGGCGATAGTACTATCGACGGGGAAAAGTAGAGCTAGTTGGTGATTCA